GAAAGTTGGTGTGAAGAGAATTTGGGGAAATTCTCTTTGAATGTGTGGGGCTATGTGACTGTGTGTGCTCGGGAAAGCCTTTTGGTGTCTTAGCAGCTTCCTGCTGCAGACCCACCCAAATGTGAAAACCACTGAAATCTAACAGGACGGAGATTTGTGGAAAAGGGTAGTAACCTAAGTTAGACACTAGAGGACACTGTTGATGTTCGCCCCTCCAGAGACAGGCGGTTGTCACTATATTTGTCCTGGGTGGTGACCGTATTGTTGGTTTGACGCTGTTCCGTGCGGAAGTTGTTTTGCAGAGAGTGTGTTTTGCCTGTATCTTTAAATAAAGAGAAATAAAAAGAGTTTTTGACCACAAAAAAACCGACAGCCATGCATCTGAGTTGTTCTGCATCGCACCATACATCAACAATTTAAAAACACAACGCAGAGTGTCCGGGTGTTTGGAGGCACGACACGACGTTGCACAGATTTAGGTTACACAACCATACTGTAACAATTGTTGTTGAGCATCTTCTAATTGTGATAACAGAGTTAAACATCATTGTTGGCTCCCAGTGTGCTTCAGTTGTGTGCCATCATGTGTTCTGCGCTGTGTGGTTTGGCTTTACAAAATCAGTTAGGTCAGTAAGCGCAACCAGAAGTAATACATAAGGCGCACCGGGTTACAAGGCGCACTGTCGATTTTTGAGAAAATTAAAGGCTTTTAAGTGCGCCTTACAGTGCGGAAAATACGTGCGTTCTGCTGTACTGAGTGTAGTGAAGCCCTTACCTGGTATATGAATACTTGTTGTTGCTTCTGTTATACAGCAGCTTCACAGTAGGCTGCAAAAACAAAATATATGGTATATATACACTGCCTGGCCAAAAAAAAGTCACCACTAAACAAAAGGGTTACACACTCTAATATTTCGTTGGGCCACCTTTAGCTTTGATTGTGGCACGCATTCGCTGTGGCATTGTTTCGATAAGCTTCTGCAATGTCAGAAGATTTATTTCCATCCAGTATTGCATTAATTTTTCACCAAGATCTTGCATTGATCTGTCTGATCAGTCTGACCGCTGCGCAAAGCCTTCTCCAGTACATCCCAAAGATTCTCAATGGGGTTAAGGTACGGGTGCCCAAAAGGTAGATCGGGATCTACCAGCAGATCTCAAAGGGAGTGCTAGTAGATCCTGAGCAATTACATTTAAAGAAACAAAAAAAATTAAAAATTATAGATTTAATTCTATTTTAAGATGCTAATCACTAGGGCTAAAGTAAGGACCATAGACGTATTGAGTCAGACGGTATTGTGCCATACGTACAACTACAGCCATTTAATCAAAGTAGTAAATACAGTGGTATGAAAAAGTTTGGGCACCCCTGATCATTTTCAAGATTTTCCTTTATGTATCATTGGTTGTTCGGAACAGCAATTTCAATTAAATATATCATATAGCAAACAAACACAGTGATAAAAGTTGAAGTTGCGCCGGGGCTGGATACTTCAACAAGACAACGACCCTAAACACCGCTCAAATTCTACCAAAGCATTCATGCAGAGGAACAAGTACAACGTTCTGGAATGGCCATCTCAGTCCCCAGACCTGAATATCATTGAAAATCTGTGGTCTGTTTTAAAGCGGGCTGTCCATGCTCGGAAACCATCAAACCTGACTGAACTGGAGATGTTTTGTAAAGAAGATGGGTCAAAAATACCTTCAACCAGAATCCAGACCCTCATTGGAAGCTATAGGAAGCGTTTAGAGGCTATTATTTCTGCAAAAGGAGGATCTACTAAATATTGATGTAATTTTTCTGTTGGGGATTTATGCACCTGCCTACTTTTGTTTAAGTAATTATTGCACACTTTCTGTAAATTCTATAAACTTCATTTCACTTCTTAAATATCACTGTTTGGTTGCTATATGATATATTTAAATTAAATTGCTGTTCCAAACAAACAATGATCCATAAAGGAAAATATTGAAAATGATCAGGGGTGCACAAACTTTTTCATACCACTGTATATATTTATACATATATAGTTTTCAATGTAGGTAGCCACTTTATCCCAGTCATTTGAAAAGTAGCTCCCAAGCCGAAAAAGTGTGGACACCCCTGGGTTAAGGTCTGGACTCTGTGGTGCCCAATGCATGTGTGAAAATGATGTCTCATGCTCCCTGAACCACTCTTTCACAATTTGAGTCCGATTAATCCTGACATTGTCATCTTGGAATATGCCCGTGCCATCAGGGAAGAAAAAATCCATTGATGGAATAACCTGGTCATTCAGTATATTCAGGTAGTCAGCTGACCTCATTCTTTGAGCACATACTGTTGCTGAACCTAGACCTGACCAACTGCAGCAACCCCAGATCATAACACTGCCCCATAGGCTTGTGATAGATAGATAGATAGAAGATAAATAGATAGATAGATAGATAGATAGATAGATAGATAGATAGATAGGTAGGTAGGTAGGTAGTGACCCTTCTCAAACAGACTAACATCTTTTCCACGACCATGGGATGTGTCTTTCGACATGGTTGTTTAATAATTGAGAAGCAACTCATTGCACCAGTTGGGTTTAAATAATTTGTTTCCAGCTGAAAGATAATCACCCATGCAGTAATTATCCAACAGGAGGCTTGTACCTATTTGCTTAGCTAAATCCAGGTGGCGACTTTTTTTTTGGCCAGGCAGTGTATGTATGTATGTATATATATGGGTTTCACATAGTTATATATTTCGTTTTTGAGTGAAATATGTATTAATTAACATTAGATTAAAAGCCGTAATAATAACAACAATTAGAACATACCTTATTTGATGTTGTAATTAGCCTCTGCTCCTCCTTGGATGATGTCATCAGAGGCACTTTACACATGGGCTCATATGTTTCCTTGTTCTGTACAAAATGCAACAACAAAGTTGTAAAACATATGTCATGTATACTATTGATTACAATAGTGAAAATAAACATGATGGCTTTCATATTGTTTTTACAGATCTGGACTTTGCAAATATGTGCGTCTTTTTTAATTTATACAAGGACAGAATAACTTTGTAATTTTAACTTTACAGTATATAGAATTAAGGAATTTATAATAATAATAAAAAATAATAGGAGTAAAATATAGGTGTTTTATGTTAAGAGTACCTGCAGGGCACCAGTGCATTCATCGGCTAAGCCTTGGACGAGGTAATACTTTGCCTCTGCGAGCAGTTCCTCAGTTTCTCGTCTGCTGTCTGGAAGTGGAACTGCGCCGTCTCTAAGGTAGTTTAGGATTGTTCCAAAATGTTTCCCACAGCGATCAATTAAGATCCAACCTGTGAGTATAAAGAGGAGAGTTTAATTTTTAACAGGTCACAAACCTAGTGGTCGGACAAAAGTGAAACACCCAACTCCTAAAACTCAATCATTTTCTTGACCTTCACTGTCGGTCAGGACTTCCATCCTGCCACTGAACATGGCTTTGAGCATTGTGTCTTGTTTAGTCAATGTCTGCATTGTAGTGTAGTACAGAGCCCCGCCCACATTTAATTTCACATATTTAGAGCTCGGGCTGGAGCCCTTGAAGGATGTAGTCCTTGTTGTAGCAGCTGGCGCTGCCGAGCTCACCACACTCTCTCCTGACATCTCTTCCTGAAAAGGCAAGGGAATGAACATGACATGTTAAAGTAATGAAGATTTACATTCATTTGAACAAATTCGAATGCGTTTGTCCTTGACTGTAATGATTTTAAAGCAGATATGTAAACAGCTAAGGCAAGGGCCAGCAGCATCACAGCTTACATTTTCATTATCAGTTATTGAGACAAACACTATTACTGAGGTCATAGTAGGAATGGTAAAATGCTGGATGGAAAACAACTTCCTTCAAGTTTTTATAGTAGAGCAACTAAACCTAAGCACATTGAAATTGTATATTATGTCATAATTATATAATATTATATATATTAGAAAAGTTAGTTGACAAAACAAAATAAACTCTAAACTATTTATATAGTAATATCTAAAGCAAATCATTAATATTTGCCGAACACTTCTTAAAGTGCAGAAGAAAATCCCTGTTGCTCTGTCGTTCATCAGGGGTCTGCACAGCGGTGGTCTGCATTGTGGTTTGGCTCAGTTTGTACTCCGGATGCACTTCCTGACACAACTTTCCCTATGATTCACCAAGGTTAGAAGCCGAACACACCTAATCCTACTGCATGGCAAAAAGTACAAGGCATTAAAAAAATCAATGGGCATAGTCAGGCCTAATCGCGCCTAATGTACGACTACAACGGACGAAAAATCTGTAACTAATTTAAAGTGTTTAAAGAATTATGAACCTTTTGTGTGAATTAATTTCTTAGAACAGGTTAATGTCCTGTTTTCCCAGTTCCTCGAGGACACATTTCTGCAATTTGTAAACAAAACGACCGACCGATTGTAAAAACTCATCTGATCATTGATAATTGCTACTATTGCTTTAAGAATTATTTTGTTCGTACCACAAATATCCTGCTCTGCTCTAGTAATTACATGACAGTAAACACTTTATATATTCATTTATATAAACAACAACTCGAAACGTTTTTTTTTTTGAGAAACTAAGACGTTTCTAGACCTAGTTTGTAGTTTGATCGAAGCTTTATAACACAGATGCTAACACGGCTAACGAGCAAGCTAACTGGATAGCAGTTATTAAAGATATCTACGATATTAGCAGGCCGTAGCACTTACGCGATTTTTCACAAACTTTAAACGTCTAATTATTTACCATAGAAGCCGCGGCAGACTACGTGAGTATAAATTACTAACGTCAGTCAGCTAACACCCACTTCTTTCCTGCGCAAGTTCAAAAATTACGTCAACTGTCCTGTGATCCACTTAAAGGAACATTTCACATTTATTCCGCCAACATTCGAGGCAAGTTCAATTGGAGTAGGAACTTGTCAAGTCTGCTCATTTCAGTGATCCACGTTATTCATTAATTATAATGTTTAAAAACATTTTTTTTGTTTCATAGCGTACGTTCACTGATGGAGTAACGATGATATCTCCCTCATAAGTAAAAATATAATTTGCCGGTGAGGCGCAACTTAAAAGATGAGGTCATTAAATTCCTCCTGTCACAATATCAATAAAATTGCGTTCAGATATTCTGGACATTTGAATGCCATGTCGATCTCACTGATTTCATCGATACTAAAACTACCCGGAACCATTTGATGTGACACAGGCTGGACTAAGAACTGCAGTCCATGTACGGATCACCTCTCATTGTTTACATTTCAAATCGGTATGTTCCCTGGGTTTTTGGGGTTGTCATTTACGCGGAATCGACTCTAACCTTTTATCGATTATATATATTTCTTAGGTTAAGCGTAAAAATACCCACAGAGGTAAAATCGAGTAGAGAAGCGACGACTAGCCCTGTGTGCTAACAAGCTAACCCAGCTTCATTTTTACTGTCACCCAGTTGCTCCAAAAATGCCACGTTAGCCTTCGTATTTAAGATGGATTTCTTCCTGTCAGGATTTCCAGGATAAACCCATGATTGAGTGGGAATAGCACCAAGTCAGCCGTAAGGGCAGAGCCCCTCACTTGAGGGAATATTCCAGGTAAAAACATTGTTATTGTCAGTTTGAACACTGCAAAGATGGGTGGTTTTTATTTATCACTGTCAGAGTATAGCTGTACAAGCGTTATTTACACTATTGTTGCAGAAGAACAAAGTTGATCACAGTGAAATGCTTTTCTATCAAGGTGCACAATGTTTGGTGTACCTCAAAGTTCCAAGTCTGAATTCCTGGACAACGCCAGGCAGGCCAGGGAGGAGAGGAAGGGTCAGAAGGAGAAGGAGAGAGCAGCAACCCAGATCCAAGCTCTGGTTCGGAGATTCCTCTGTCGCTGCAGACTGCAGAAGCAAATTGGGTATTTAATTATTCACTATTGTTATTATTGTTAATCATCATACAATGTTTGCTGTTGCCTGATTCTCTCACCTGTCTCTTCTCTGCTATTTGAAGCTTTTGCTTGCATTTTGTTTAATGTAAAACAGAGATATTGTGGTATGTGATATTTATGTTTTCACTAAAACAGTTCTTATATGAAACATACACGTTGATGCATTTGTTGACAAGAAAGAGACAGTATTTGCATTTATCAAATCATGAATATATTAAGTTAATTAATTAAATTATAATAATAATAATCCACAGTTACTTCAACATTGTCCATTTATTGTTCTTCTGTGTTTCTCCAGGAAAGAAGTTGACAAGTATTTCCAGGCCTCTGAACCTGGCACATCAAAAAGAAATGCACTTTCAATTTTCAAAATTGCTCAGAAGTTGATGTTTATATTTTGTCAAGAGGACAAGATGGTGAGATTCAATCTTAGTTTAATCTGTATTACATTACATGACAGTTATAATAATTACACAACTGATAATTAATTTTCACAAACCAGCCACTAGGGTACACGAATCAGTGTTTTATAGTGCTGGTCCCAAGCCGGGATAAATGGTGAGGGTTGCGTCAGGAAGGGCATCCGGCATAAAACTTTTAGCCAAATCAAATATGCAAATCACTAAAACGATTTCCATATTTTTGCTATGTTTAATCCTTACCTTTGTCTACTACACAGAGGTTTGAGAAGCTCTGTCGTGCTATTCTGGCCAGCATGGAGGTTGAAAATGAACCTAAAGTGAGTTTAACCCTATTCTCCATCTTTTCACCCTTCTCACATGTACCGTAATGTTTATTTTATTTTCTAATGTGGCCCTCAGGTCTGGTATGTGTCATTGGCCCTTTCCAAAGATCTTATTATACCCTGGCTCAAACAGATTAAAGATGTCCTATGGACCTGCTGTCAGTTATTAAAAAATCTCAAGGTTGGTCTGTATTTGTAAAATGATTTTCATATGAATGCTCACATTATGAATGGTACATTGTATCAATCTAAGCATTTTTATTTGCAGCCTGACATACTTCAGGACAATACATTGGTTACACTGTACCTCACCATGCTGGTAACATTCACAGACATGTCAACCTGGAGGATAGTGCGTGGAAAAGGTAGGGTTTCAATGTTTATAATGCTGTATATACAGTTCCCTGAGAGTGTATCCGTCTTATGCATCACTGCTGTGCTTCATCAAAATGATAATTGTATGTCTGTGTAGGTTCTCAGTCATCCAGGTCATTTAATCCAAAAATAGTTACGTCTAAGGCAACTGGACGGAGTAGGTTTTTTGAAAATGTTTCACCTCTCATCCTGAAGAGGCTTCTTCAGTTCTGACTGACTACTGGGAAATTGTATTTTTGAATGATAATTGTACGCATTAACAATTTTTTAATAGTAATAATAATAATTATTCCTTAGGAGAAGCTTTCCGACCTGCTTTAATGAAGATCTGTGAAAACATCATGGGCCATCTCAATCAAAAAGGATTTTATTCCATGTTTCAGGTTCAGTATAAACGCTCCTTTTTGAAAAATTAAACTGTACACAACATCTAGTGTTAAAATTGAGTTTATCTGAAATACCAGTCGCCTCCCTGCTCAATTACGAATATTTAAAATGACAAATAATATTGTTTTAAGTTGTTTCATAAAATATTTTCCAAAAATAAGTTTGCACTTTAAAGAGTTTCTTATTATCTTACCATCCTGTTGTCATCCTAATAATAATACACTTCTTCTTTACAGATCTTGTTGACCAATGGCTTGGCTCGTTCTAAGCCCTCCCTGTCCAAAGGCAGTCTCACAGCAGTTTTCACCCTGTCATTAAGGTTAGCTGGAAGCTGCTAATTTACTATTTTAAATGTTATTCCAAAAATATATTTTCCTGTTTAACTGCAGGCATTTTCTGTTTTTAGGCCGGTCATTGCTGCTCACTTCTCTGACAACTTCCTGAGATCATTCCTTGTGCACATCATGTCAGTTCCCGCTCTCATATTCCACCTCACTATGCTAACACCAGAGGTAAAGCCATGGCACATGTCCTGTATACATCTGTAACAACTGTTAGGAAGGAGGTGTTAATATCTGCTTTTTGATAACAGTGCATGACAACAATCCAGACCCATGACTTCCTGAGGAAGTTTATTTTGTTTCTCAGTCAGGAAGAACAGTGTTCAGACATCTGTGTGTGTCTGGAGGGGAGCCACGCACTCTGCCTACTTGGTACAGTTTTTCTTGTTAAAAGACCAAACTTTCATTGATCTAATCAAGTTGTGCAGATGAGACTTCCCTCATGTTGCTCGAGAACTGCCATGTTTAAGCTCATGACTTGTATCTTATTCATATTTCGTAGGTAATCTGATTCACTTGGGTTACATAAATGAGAAGGTTCTGGAAGAGGAGGCCCATCAGTTTGTGAAGGACTTAACTGTCATGTTGTCATACTGCCAGAGATATGTGTCCCAGAAGAACTCCAACCTCACACACTGGCATCCTGTGTTCGGCTGTGTCTCCCAAAATGTAGACTATGGGTGGGTAACAGAAACACTATTCACTTAACTTCATTTATTTGCTAAATAAAAGTAAACTTTAGTTTTCTTTTAAAGCGAAAGTTACTTTACAGTTGACTGAAGCTTCCTCTGTTTCTTTCCTCGTAGTCTGATTGAATCAATGCCACTGGTCAACAAACAGCTTCAGTACCTTTGGGGCGTCTCTGTCATCCGAACGCTCTTCAGTGATGTCCTGTCTAAAAAGCTTGAAAGTCAAGAACCTACTCCTCCACCTCCACAGCCCAGCACCTCACAGAACAACCTGCCTGTTAAAAGTATTAATCTAAAGCTGCTGAAATTATGAAAAACCTAAGAAACCTATGTTTCTCTAAGTTCCTTTTCATTCTGTCATATTTCTGTGTTGACAGATCTTTTTAAGCGAGCGTTTCAGAAGTCCGCTTCAGTTAGGAACATCCTGAAACCAGTAGGTGGAAAGCGAGTCGACTCGGCCGAGGTCCAGAAGGTGTGCAGCATCTGTGTACTGTACCAGACCGCTCTGTCTACACTAACACAAATACGCCTCCAGATCCTCACAGGTCAGCGTCAGAAGATCTTAAAGCAATAACGTAAATAATGTAAGTACTGTCATCACAACACAATCATTTGTTGTTGATGTCTGTAGGTCTGACCCACCTCGATGACCTTTTGCCCAAACTATGGGCCTTCATCTGTGAGCTTGGTCCTCAGGGAGGACTCAAACTCTTCATGGAGTGTCTGAACAACGACACGGACGAGTCCAAGCAGCTTCTGTCCATGCTCATGCTGTTTTGTGACTGCGCACGGCATCTCATCACGTAATTTCTTTTTTTGTGCATACCCCGCTGACAGTTCACTTCTACCATTTCTCTGACCTCCTGCAAATACGTTACAGAATTCTTGATGACATCGAGGTGTACGAAGAACAAACATCCTTCAAGACAGAGGAACTCATCACTATCTCCTCGTTTCTGAACACATTTGTGTACAAGATGGTATGGGATGGCATCTTAGGTGGGTGTGGCCATCCCGTTGTGACGAGGGCGAATCTTTAAAAAGTATTTTTCTCACTGAAAATGTGTTTATGTTTTGAATAGAGAACGCAAAAGGAAAGAAACTGGAGTTGTTCCACAGCGTTCACGGCTGGCTGATGGTTCTCTACGAACGAGACTGCAGGCGACGGTTCACACCAGATGACCACTGGCTACGCAAGTTAGGACAGACACTGAATAAGCTCTAATGTCTCAACCTTCAGAAAAGACTCCTGAGGTTAATCCTCGTCTTTTATCTTTGTGGTGTTGCATTCAGGGACCTGAAACCAATCCTGTTGTTCCAAGAGCTGGAGAAGGGAAAGAAAAGAGCTCAACTTTTGTTGCAGTACATCCCCCAAGCCATTCCACATAAAAACGTGAGCAGCATTTTTTAAGTAGTCTCCTTTAAATGTCTATTCATATAGTTATGTATCAGTGTTAAATTGTTTTTTTATCTGTGTTTCAGAGGGTTCTGTTGTTTAGGAACATTGTAACAAAGGAAAAGGAAAACTTGGGCCTGGTTGAAACCAGCTCAGCTTCACCTCGTGTCACACATATTACCATCCGTCGTTCACGTATGATGGAGGTAAAGATACGTTTAATAAAGGAAAAATTGTGAGAAGTTTAAAAATTGATTGTAAAAAAAATCATACTTACACACATTTCCCAGGATGGCTATGACCAATTGCGTCGTTTACCGGTGAATTCCATAAAAGGTGTCATCCGTGTGAAGTTTGTGAATGACCTGGGAGTGGACGAGGCTGGTATCGACCAGGATGGTGTCTTTAAGGAGTTTCTGGAGGAGATTATTAAAAAGGTGTTCAATCCAGCTCTCAACCTGTTCAGGGTAATTCAGGCAGATTCTTTAAATGTATTTTTCTTGGTTGTAATTGTACAGCTTTACTCACTATGGTGTTTTTTGTAGACTACGAGTGGAGACGAAAGGCTGTTTCCTTCACCCACATCTTATATCCATGAGAACCATTTACAGCTGTTTGAGTTTGTGGGTAAGATGCTTGGGAAAGCTGTCTATGAGGTACGTACAACCAGACGGTGGCGTCTTTTCTTACATAGGGCTGTCAAATTCATCACGTCATCACAGATGATTTGAACTGAGCTTAACCTTCAAACTGGTGTGTTTCTAGGGCATTGTGGTAGATGTGCCGTTCGCCTCCTTCTTCCTCAGTCAGGTCTTGGGTCACCATCACAGCACATACAGCTCCATTGATGAGCTTCCTTCCCTGGACTCCATGTTTTACAAAAACCTCACATCCATAAAGGTAACAGAGAATAAACTTTACCGCATCTTGCTGTTTTCTTATTTACACTCTGTCCTGAACCACAGGTCATTTCATTCTGTAGATTTTTCCTTGAATGAGTAATCATTTGATTTTTCAGCGTTATGATGGAGACGTGCGGGATTTAGAACTGACACTCTCCTATGATGAGGATGTCATGGGACAGGTAATGATGATTAGTATAATCAAATCAATTGCTTGTGGAAAATGAAAAAGGAATTTGTCCATGAAAGATTTTATTTATATTTCAGCTCGTCTGTCATGAGCTCATACCTGGTGGGAAAACAATGGTCGTCACCAATGAGAACAGGTTTGTAAATGCTGTAAATGATTTTGAGGGAAAATTCCCTCTTTTTCTTTAGCTAAAAATGTTGTTTCTTTGCTGATTAACTCCTGCAGGATCAGCTACATCCACCTCATGGCTCACTTCCGTATGCACACACAGATTAAAGAACAAACGGCAGCTTTTATTCGAGGTTTTCACTGCATCATTAATCCAGAGTGGCTGCACACGTTTTCAACACCTGAGGTTCAACGTCTGGTCTCAGGAGACAACGCTGAGATTGATCTTGATGACCTCAAGTATGTGACATTTTGGTTTTATTTTCATGTAATTGGATATAGATGTACATACTGTAAAGCAGAAGGGTTGCAGGTTGCATTTAATGTCATTACTGCACAAGAAAGTTTGGTAAACAGTGATGACAGACAGGACTGTCTTGGTTGGGTTTGGCTAAATTTTTCTTTTGTAAAAACCTTCTGTTATCAGCTTTGATAAATGCATATATTTGTGCATGTTGTGCCACAAAGAGACTGCAGCATTTCATACCTAAGGTATTACTCATTGAAAAACGTGTGCTGACACCAGAGTCCTGGTCTAGCCTGCCTACAGTAGTCCAAATGATGGGGTTCAGTTTAATATTATAGCTATAATTTGTGAGTTTCCATTATCTGTAAAAGTAGTAGACAGATAACCTCCCCACCCCCCACCAATATAAAATTTAAAATATAGCGTTTTTGTTTTTCCACGTGTCTATTCATTAGATTGTCAACAAAAATATATTTAAATTTTCTGATTGATTACAATCTCATTCATCAAAATTAATTAATTACAAAGCCTTGAATTAATTAGATTGATGTTTAATTGTGTCCCTATACTGGTCTACTGCCATTTCTTTAAGCACTTTAACATTTCCATTCAAAAAGATGGTAGTAAACCTTAATAAAATAATCAATAGACAAACACATTTAACAGAAGCTGTTTGAAACGCCTATTTTTTTCTGCTTTTTCTCAGGAAACACACAGTTTATTATGGAGGATTTCACAGCAGCCATCGAGTCATAATCTGGTTGTGGGACATCCTGTCCAGTGACTTTAATGCTTACGAGATAGCTATGTTCCTAAAAGTGAGCTGATTTTAATTTACAGCCTGTTGCCATCATTAACAGGTTAACGAACAACTGCCTCTAATTTCTTATTTCTTTACAGTTTGTTACCAGCTGTTCAAGGCCACCTCTGCTAGGATTTGCCTACCTCAAGCCACCTTTCTCCATCCGCTGTGTGGAGGTTTCAGACGATCAGGTGATGTCACACACACACACACGTTTGTAGCTTTGTGTTGTAGCTGTATTCCATTACGTTTGTACTAACAGAGTGATTTCTTGTTCCCAGGACACTGGAGACACACTTGGCAGTGTTCTGAGAGGCTTTTTTACCATTCGCAAGAAGGAACCCGGGGGTCGTCTTCCTACTTCCTCCACATGCTTCAACCTGCTGAAGCTGCCCAACTACAGCAAAAAAAGCATCCTTTGTGACAAGCTGCGCTACGCGATCAGTATGAATACAGGCTTTGAACTGTCCTAACTAAATTGGATCAGGACAATTTGCACACAAGGCCTGTGTCCAACAGCCTGAACCGAGTTTCAGGCCCATCTTATCAGGACTCGAACCTGTTACATCAGAGGGAACGACACACAGACTGAAGGGGAGATCACAGAGGACCCACACGGTCGTCTTTTATCTATCCAGGACTGAACAAGCTCAGTTTGACTTCAGATGCTGTTTGCGCAGCACGATGTGATTTTAAAGATTTCCCTCTGCCATTACAATAATCTGTGTGTTCAACTCGGTGAAATACAGTTGCACAGAGGCTGAATCTGTTTCTCAGGCTTAACAGAATCATTTTGTATCCAACAAGCCCCTTCTAGGTGAACTGGAAAGCAAAACAAATGCAATGTAAGCTATTAGACACATGGTTGACTCACACAAGTGAAACCATGCAATGGATTGTCATGAGCTCAAATCTTTGGACTTGCTGCGGTAGGACGAGTCCTTTAAGTGTTTCGTTGAACACAAGGTGTCTTCTATAATATGGACAAAGACAAATCATTCTCATGTCATTGATATCTGTGCATAATAAGTGCTCACAAGAATAATGTGTAAATATGTTGACTATAAATCTCAAAGGAAATTTTGGAAGGAAACAACATCATTTAATTTCACAGTAGAGGACACTGCATATAACAGAGAGAAGTGTTAATCCAGTGGTTTATATCTTCTTGGTACAAATGAAAACACTGCATTTCTTGAACAGCATCAAAAAGCTCCTACTGTTTAATTCAGAATGATTTGTTCTAATATTGGATCTTTTCATGACTGGTCCTCCCATTTCGGTGGAGCAGAGGGAAGCAAGTGTTCATCATGTTGTGTTTTGATGTACACTCCAAAATAAGAAGAGTAAAATCAATCAGTTCTTTGTACTTTGTTGTAAAAATAAACTCTTTCTTACACTACACAGAGTGCCTCATGTAACGTCATCCCCCTTCATTCTAATAACAGACTGTGTCTCAGCTGTTTCCAGTAACCATGTATATATTGGAGAAAGCCATAGAAATAACCACTGCAACTACAACTACAACAACATCGACGGAGAGATTTGACGCAGCGTCCTCTCCTGACTCTGTGGATGTTGTAAGCCATGCTAAAAAGTTACTTGTGGTGTAAAAGCCTCACATTATACGATGTCATGAACTGGTTAATTAACCAGATGTGACTGTTTGATTTGATGCTCCCTTTAGGTGGAAATCTTGCACTCATACATCAGCTGTCTCTGGGGAAAATAAACTATAGGGTGAATGCGACCTTGTAATAAAGCCTAAGTATCCAAGGGTTCAACTTTTTTTTATTTTAGACATTAACCCAAAAATCCATGTGACTCTCAAGGAGTCTTTTAAAAAGACATTATAGAAGGTTTTATTCTAAATAAAAAAAATAAAGATTTTCTTTATTATACAAATGACTTCTGTCATGAATAAGAGAAAACTGTCAACAAATAACATGCACTAAAGAACATGTCCTTGTCACTTTCTTATATGTGACATTGTTTTTAAGATATTAAATGGGAACCAATAACAAAAAACATTGCAATTGGAGCTTTGAACCCAAAATGGAAAAGTGGTAAGTGCATTTAGCCTTAGAAGCAGGAACATAGTCTTTCTGAAGCATGGTGGGAACTGACAGTCTTTTTATGGAGTTGGGGTGTTCCCCCTTTGTATGTGGGTTTTCTTCTGGCACTCCTGTTTCTTTTTGTATTTGCCAGGAGACCTCACTTCAACTGTTAGCATTTTTATTGTTCAACATAGAACATGCGGTGAAGCCACATTTCTGAAATGATCAGAAAACCACATTTGGTTGAAATGGGCTTTGTCTAATCTCACGTTTAAATAGAAATACATCATTTTAGTTTTACTCCATCTCTTATGAAGTTACACCAGAAACACAGCATGACACATGTCACAGTTCAGCTAAGCATTTGTGTCACTGGTACTTACACTAGAAGCATCTTTAGTCAGCCACATCTGGACTAAATCATTTTTTATTGATTTTACTAAGTATATGATTTCCTAGTGGTTTAATCCCAAGGTGTGCAACCTGTGGCCCCTGAGCCTGTGACTCTTTAGCCTCTCTGTATTGGCTTCCTGCAAGATTGTACAGTATTTTAATGTATACAAAAATGTACTAAATATTGAATACTACCCATCCATCCATCCATTTTCATCCGCTTATCCGTTACCGGGTTGCGGGGGCAGCAGACGCCTTCCTGCGGGTGGTGAGTCCACTAGAAGGTACCAACCGCCCTAACCGGGATTTGTACTTGCCCAGGAGGTGAATCCTGGGGTTCCACACCAATGACAGAGACATTGCCTCTGGGCCAAAGCACCACATGTTTAATACTATTGTGATGAAATTCACAATGATAATTGCCTGCATGAAGATGTATGTACCACAAGTTAATTAATAAATTCTCAACATTGCACTACTGTCATCAATGTAGTTTTTTATCATTCATGTACACGTTGTCTATGGAGGACATCGTGTTGGATTATCATGATTTTCAGTGGTCAACAGCAGTCAAAACAATTTTCACTTTTGATTATGAATTGCACTTTGTACTCTGATTTAATAAAATTTAAAGATTGGGAATATTCAACATCAAAATGCAATGTAACCACTAGATGCTGCTAAATGACACACTTTTGCATTATCTCCCTCTACGCTATATACTATTTTTTAATGTTTCTTCTGGCCAATGCATTTTATTTAATTTTTCAAAAATATTTAAACTACGTGTAATTTATTTTATTAGCATCTCATCAGCCTTTTGTTAAACACACAGGCAATGCTTTATTTTTTTGACTGAGTTTATTGGAGTCACCTGTGAGTGTGAGGGGAGGACGCCTGTGCAACATGTTCACTCCAGAAGAAAAACTTGCAGACGGATTAGTCTGAGTGATATCATTACATTCTATTATTCCCACAGACTCGTTGTGAGCTAAGCTGACTTCAGTGGTGGTAAAGGTTTCCAGTCAAACCTGAAACTGCTGAAGAACCATGAACAACTGACCACACAGTTCTTCTCCAGGCCGTTGGTTTAAAGCCATACGTAGGTAGGGTCCTCTCACTGAGAGCGACAAATCTTTTATTCATACTCCGCTTTAGTTTATAGTTATATTTTTATGGTAGTTTCCTCTTCAACTGAACACCAGTTATCATTAAACAGTCGTCGTCTTAAAATAAAGAAATTGACCTCAGTCAAGATACGTACATACCTACTAACTTTATGAAAATGCATATTTTTCATTTTTTTCGTCCGATGTACTTACAGTGGGTACGGAAAGTATTCAGACCCCTTTAAATGTGTCACTCTTTGTTTCATTGCAGCCATTTGCTAAAATCAAAAAAGTTCATTTTATTTCTCATTAATGTACACTCAGCACCCCATCTTGACAGAAAAAAAACAGAAATGTAGAAATTTTTGCAAATTTATTAAAAAAGAAAAACTGAACTATCACATGGTCATAAGTATTCAGACCCTTTGCTCAGTATTGAGTAGAAGCACCCTTTGGAGCTAGTACAGCCATGAGTCTTCTTGGGAATGATGCAACAAGTTTTTCACACCTGGATTTGGGGATCCTCTGCCATTCTTCCTTGCAGATCCTCTCCAGTTCCGTCAGTTCCTCCAGAGATGCTCAATTGGGTTTAGGTCAGGGCTCTGGCTGGGCCAGTCAAGAATGGTCACAGAGTTGTTCCAAAGCCACTCCTAACCAAGGATTTTAGCTGTGTGCTTAGGGTCATTGTCTTGTTGGAAGGTGAACCTTCGGCCCAGTCTGAGGTCCTGAGCACTCTGGAAGAGGTTTTCTTCCAGGATATCTCTGTACTTGGCCGCATTCATCTTTCCTTCAATTGCAACCAGTCGTCCTGTCCCTGCAGCTGAAAAACACCCCCATAGCATGATGCTGCCACCACCATGTTTCACTGTTGGGATTGTATTGGGCAGGTGATGAGCAGTGCCTGGTTTTCTCCACACATACCACTTAGAATTAATGCCAAAAAGTTCTAATTTGGGCTCATCAGACCAGAGAATTTTATTTGTCCCCATCTTGGAGTCCTTCAGGTGTTGTTTTAGTAAACTCCATGTGGGCTGTCATGTGTCTTACACTGCGGAGAGACTTCCGTAGGGCCACTCTGTTATAAAGCCCCGACTGGTGGAGGGCTACAGTGATGGGTGACTTTCTACAACTGTCTCCCATCTCCCCACTGCATCTCTGGAGCTCAGCCCCAGTGATTTTTGGGTTCTTCTTTGCCTCTCTCACCAAGGCTCTTCTCCCCCAATTGCTCAGTTTGGCTGGAACGCCAGGTCTAGGAAGAGTTCTGGCCATCCCAAACGTCTTCCATTTAAGGATTATGGAGGCCACTGTGCTCTTAGGAACCTTAAGTGCAGCAGATATTTTTTTTAACCTTGGCCAGATCTGTGTCTTGCCACAATTCTGTCTCTGAGCTCTTCAGGCAGTTCCATTGACCTCATTTGCTCTGACATGCACAGTGAGCTTTAAGGTCTTATGTAGACATATAGATATAGATATATGGCTTTCCTAATCAAGTCCAATCAGTTTAATCAAACACAACTGAAGGTGTAGAACCATCTCAAGGAGGATCAGAAGAAATGGACAGCATGTGAGTTAAATATGAGTGTCACAGCAAAGGGTCTGAATACTTATGACCATGTGATATTCCAGTTTTTCTTTTTTAATAAATTTGCAAAAAATTCCACATTTCTGTTTTTTTCTGTCAAGATGGGGTGCTGAGTGTACATTAATGAGAAATAAAATTAACTTTTTTGATTTTAGCAAATGGCTGCAATGAAACAAAGAGTGACACATTTAAAGGGGTCTGAATACTTTCCGTACCCACTGTATGTCTAGGACACATACATATCTTATAGTTAAGAAAAACTATGAGTAATTCCCTCAATTAAGTAATTTAGAATATTATCATCCTCTGTGTCAGTCTAAAGCTTAGCTGAACGGTGACTCCATTCGTAAAAGTGGATATGTAACATCAGTGGATGTTATTTAATTTGGATGGAACATGAGTGTTAAAAAACAATAGGAATTGTGATAAGAAAAGGATATAGAATGTTTCTAACAGCTTTGCAGCAGGGCTTTAGTAACTAGTGATTTTCTTACGTTCCCAGGACCAGACTGGAGGGCCGTGTTTAAAGACATACACACTGGATTGTGTGGATTTGGTGAGAAGAGCCAGAGTTGCCTTTGAAATTGGACATACCCTGAAATAGAAGTTTAGGCTGGCTCAGCTAGGGAATTTGTTGCTGATGCTGGAGGAACATGAGTGTGAATTTGTAGATGCTCTTGGAAATGACCTACATAAGGTGTTCATAACAAGAATGAATGTAGCAGCTATAATAAAACACATTTAGTTGTAAAGAACTAATCTGTTATTTTTCTTGATTCACATTGTGTTACCAGCCAAGGTTTGAGACTGTTGCGTTAGAACTGATGCTTGTCAAGAATGAAGCACTTCATGTCATCAATAACCTTAACCCTTGTAAGGTCCAATAGGTCCAATATGTCTTTGTGTCTGTGTGTGTGTGTGTGTGCGTGCATGTTCCTGTACTGCATGACTTGTGCCAACTTTTCCTCATATTCATTAATACTCATATTCTGGGACAAAATGAAAATCATTGCAAGGACAAACGGTGTGTACAAAAATGCGAAGGACCACACGAGGGACAAGAAACATTTGGATTCCAGTGGGCAGAGTGAACGCTGGCGCGATTTGCTGCCGCTGCTCGCCCGTAACTTTTAGCTTTTAAGCTATCACTTTAAGTATTTAGTTTAGGTTTTTTTAGCAGCTTATTGATCCACAACTGTCACCGCTCCTGTGTCCATTTCGACCGAGTCCCTGCAGAGTTTGTCACCACAGTGTTAACTGGCAGGATGCACTT